GTCCTAGTCTGTGATCTATTCCACAAATAAGCCTTATACTAACTTAAAAGTTCTTTGTAATATGGGTTCATAGCGCGGAAAGGGTTAAACCAATTCACTCTGTCCCTTTTTCGCACTCAGGCTCTCCATCCCAATCACGCATCTTTCCTTACAACCTCGATGGTCCAGGCACCTCGAGCTCACCCTCATTAATTATCTATTTTAATTGCCTACTCTATCTTCACGCGCTCGGCCACCTTCGCTCCAACTGTAAACACTCCGGACATTCTCTCGGACTTAAATAATTTACACTATAACTAATGTCTATTCGTGTTTCAATAGCAACATACAATAATGCTCCAATGGGATTTCTATATTTCATTTCAATTGAGGCCGATTGTGATGGTTCCAGGTTCAAATTTTGCTCCATCGATGTACTCTATAATTTACTGTTCTCAATCTTGTGCCTCTGTGCTAAAGTCTCAATGTAATGTTTCTGATCGAGTTTCATGACACCTTTTTTAAAATCGTAATCTATATTTATTCCCACATAAATTTTCACTTCGCCTAAATTTTTCATTGCAAATCTTTTTGACAGTACCTTTGATTTTTCTAAGTATATCTTTGTTTCTTGCACAAATTCGTAAATCGTCTACAAACAAAATTAAATATATTCGTTCATTCTTCTCAATTTTTATGTATAAACAATAATTATTCTCATTTCTACGAAATCCTAATTTTATAATGTATTCGTCAAAGCATTCATACCAAGCTCTAGGGCTTTCACGTAATCCATACAATGCTTTTCTCAATTTGTATACTTTTCCACTCATATCATCATAACCTACTGGTTGCTTAACAAACACTTCATATTTTACATTTCCATTAGGGAATGCGGTTTCCACATCCATTTGTGTTATTGTTAATTCATAATTACAATAGTATGATAATAACAATTTTAATGTCTGTATTTTTGCCACTGGGGAATATAGCTCTTCCAGTATACAACCAGCCTTGCTTTTTTTTCGATCATCAGCCTTATTTGTAAAAACCCATTTTAAAACTAAAATTTTCTTGTTTTCTGGCTTTTCTACCAGTTCCCAAATTTCATTTTTTACTAAGCTATTTATCTCGCGTTTCATTGCCTCATTCCGTAAATCAAATTCATTCCCATTTAACGATTCGTCATAGGTTCTTGGACTATCTGCACTTACAAAATTTACATATATACAGTATGAGTCATATCTCTCAGGTTTTTTTGTTTGACGTACGGATCTTCTCAGTTCTAGCTCACTTTCGCTAAGATTCTCGTCTTCATTTTTATTTTTGTGAATAACCTTTTCAAAGATTTCTATATTTCATTTCAATTGAGGCCGATTGTGATGGTTCTAGGTTCAAATTTTGCTCCATCGATGTACTCTATAATTTACTGTTCTCAATCTTGTGCCTCTGTGCTAAAGTCTCAATGTAATGTTTCTGATCGAGTTTCATGACACCTTTTTTAAAATCGTAATCTATATTTATTCCCACATAAATTTTCACTTCGCCTAAATTTTTCATTGCAAATCTTTTTGACAGTACCTTTGATTTTTCTAAGTATATCTTTGTTTCTTGCACAAATTCGTAAATCGTCTACAAACAAAATTAAATATATTCGTTCATTCTTCTCAATTTTTATGTATAAACAATAATTATTCTCATTTCTACGAAATCCTAATTTTATAATGTATTCGTCAAAGCATTCATACCAAGCTCTAGGGCTTTCACGTAATCCATACAATGCTTTTCTCAATTTGTATACTTTTCCACTCATATCATCATAACCTACTGGTTGCTTAACAAACACTTCATATTTTACATTTCCATTAGGGAATGCGGTTTCCACATCCATTTGTGTTATTGTTAATTCATAATTACAATAGTATGATAATAACAATTTTAATGTCTGTATTTTTGCCACTGGGGAATATAGCTCTTCCAGTATACAACCAGCCTTGCTTTTTTTTCGATCATCAGCCTTATTTGTAAAAACCCATTTTAAAACTAAAATTTTCTTGTTTTCTGGCTTTTCTACCAGTTCCCAAATTTCATTTTTTACTAAGCTATTTATCTCGCGTTTCATTGCCTCATTCCGTAAATCAAATTCATTCCCATTTAACGATTCGTCATAGGTTCTTGGACTATCTGCACTTACAAAATTTACATATATACAGTATGAGTCATATCTCTCAGGTTTTTTTGTTTGACGTACGGATCTTCTCAGTTCTAGCTCACTTTCGCTAAGATTCTCGTCTTCATTTTTATTTTTGTGAATAACCTTTTCATGTTCATTGTTTTTTATCACATTTTCATGAACTTTTTGAGACTCAGTTCTTTCACCCATGTTCTCTATCGATTCACCATGAGATTCATCTTCTCCATTAAATCCTACTAATTTTTCATCTTCTATAATATCTACGTTTCTAGCAACTATAACTTTATTATTAATTAACACTCTATAACTCTATAACTCTATATTTTCGTATCATACCAATATACCAACAACAGCTTTTCTATCCCACTTGGACCTTCGTTTAATGTCTGGTACCCTTGTAAAAACTTTACACCCATACAATTTCGAATTTTCAATATTTGGCTTTCTTTTGAAAAATATTTCGATAGGAGTTTTCATTTCCGCGGTATTTGTTATAACCCTATTTTTCAGGTATGCAGCAGCTTTTACTATTTCAGGCCAATATCTAATATTTATTTTCGAATCTGAGAGTAAGCATCTAGCCGAATTCATTATAGTTCTATTGTAATTCTCAGCTGTTCCATAACTCATGAACATAAGGTGGACAAGGCTCTAAGAGAATTCCTTTTTCACGAATTAATTTATGCATTTCATTATTAATATATTCCTTTCCATTGTCACGCCTTAATCTTTTTATTCTTGAGTTAGTTAAATTTTCTACTTTATTTATATAGTCTATAAAGCAATCATAAACTTCATTCTTTGATTTCAATGTATAAATTACAGTAAATTTACTAAAATCGTCAATGAAAGTTAAGAAATAATTTGATTCATCATATCCCGTTGTACGATGAGGCCCATTTAAATCTGTGTACTAACTCAAGAATTTTACATGATCTACTTCTATTATTTCGAAATGGCAAATTGTGCATTTTGTTTCGAATGCAGGTCCCACATTTTAGAAAAATTTGCTGCAAATTTCCTGGTATTTCTTCAACTAATCTTTTCTGACACATCAAATTTAAATAATTAAAATTTACATGACCTAAGATTCGGTGTAATTTTTCTTTCTGTGTCATCTTTTCAACGCTTTTAGCATAAGTTCGATTTCTTTCTACAGAGCTACTGATTTTGTATAAACCATATTCTTTATGAGCAATTCCAATTAATTTTTCATACCTATCATAGATTTTTTAAGTATTACCTATCGATACAATTTTATTCTCATCTGTTATTCTCGCATAACTAAGTAAATTTTTATCCATTTCTTTTACATAAAATACATTGGATATTGTTATTTTAATTTTCTGTCTATAAACTTCAAGAAAAGTAACAATTTTTCCTACTTTTGTCCCTTTTAGTATTCGACCATCTCCAATTTTAACATTTATAGGGTTTTTTAATGTAACATTTTTAGAAAAATAACAATCATTATTCACAATATGATCCAAACATCAACTATCCAATACCCAATCTATTTTTTGTGTCTCACAATTATACGCATTCTTATCATTCAAACATTCATTCTCATTCTCTTCTCGTTGAACTTGAGTCAGAAAGAATCCAGTTCCTTGATCGTAGTTTCTGTCATTGTATGAGTACCTCGCATCGTGTTGACCCATTGCATCGTGGTACGACTGCCAACCTCTGCCACGACCTCTCTGGTTCCTACTGCGTCCACGTTGACCATAACCTCGACCTCGTCGGCCTCGAAATTCTTGATTAGCAGATTGTTGTTGCCAGGGTTGTCTGTCACCTCCTCGCCAGTGAGAACCACTACTAGTACTTGGTCTACTCGTATTTTGACAATTTCGTGCTATATGTCCATCTTTTCCACATTTGTGGCACTTTATAATTTTCTTATCGACTTTAAATACACTTGAAATATTTTTGTCATTTTCTGATTGTCCTTCGGTTTCCCACATGGTAATTTTGCTCTTCAAAAACTCACAAGCGCGATCCTTTGCATTCATTGTGTCTATCAAATCACCAACGTAGCACAGTGATTTTGGTAGCGTTTTTAACATATAATGTAGTTTTTCACTTTCCTTAATTTCAGCACCTGCACTCTTCAATTCATTAACCGTTTGAGTGCCAAGCGGCGCGATCGCGCTTCTATTTTGTGTCCAAAAGTGCCAGCGCTCTAAGCTGCGAAGCTGACAATCAGCGCGCTCGGTTGGTGAACGCGGAATATGAGAAGCGCTATCGCGCCGCTCGGCATTTTTGGACACGGAATATGACAAGCGCTATCGCGCCGCTTGGCAAATATGGATTGGGAAACAATAATGACCCGTGGCACTCAAACGGTTAAGCCAGGAATTCACTTTGTTGACCGATGCAATTTGCAATCCCCTGGTTGAGGGTAGCCCATGAAACACACAAGTACACTAGGCTCACTCACGAGCTATTGAGATCACATTGTAGATTGCAATTTATCATTATTCCCTAAGGGGAACCTAGTCTAAGTCGTACAATCCAAGACACAATGCCATTGAATTCTGCAGATTCCGCGCTCTGTCTGCAGTGTCCTCTTCGAGTTCTAGAGCTACCTATCCATCTGCAGATCTTCGCACACCAAGAATTGTCCAGCTCTCTAGCAGCTGTGAGTCTAATAATAGCTGGATTTATCTTGTGGAATGTAGGAATAGGATGGGGTAGTACCCCTCTCTCGCTGCGTTAAGGCGGTCATTCAACACCCCTGATGAGAATCCTTTGTCAACCAGCGCAGAGAGGGGATTCGTTACCTGGAAAACCGGAGGAAACCGAAATATGCCTGTAGTCGCCAGGATCAGGTATGACGTCTTTTGGGGGAATGGGCGTCGTTCTTGATCTCAACAGGCGTATTTTCCCACGTATGAGATATATATATATTCACGATTCTTGCAATAAAGTTCAAAGACTCAGAGCGAAGCTCTCTCACTCTTGTTCTGTCAGGCCGAGGATCGGTGTGCGGGCTTAGGGAAGTTTCCTTAACCTCATTCGCGCTAGTGGGTTTCAAGTTTAGCAGTCGGCTGCTTTTGCTTATCGGTACTAGGTGACGTGGTCCCTCCGCTAATGTGTAACATAGCCCTCGTGCGTTGGCCGTGCGTTCACGCTTAAGTCCAAAAACACCAACTATATTTGCTTGGGCACTTCCCAAAGCGACGGGTGAATTCACCGCGCCCATCACGCTTGATAATCGTGTGGTATTTTGGTTCCCAGATGTTCCGGGAATGGTACTAACTTTTATCCAGCGAAGAGCGGCGGAGTTAGACCCGTGGCCTGGTATTCCAGTCACCATCTTGTACTGATCTTTCATCCTCTGTAGTGTGCCCGATACTCGAGCATTAAATTGTGAGGAAATACGAAGTCGTCCAGCCATGTTGTCCCCTTCTTGAAATTCAGGATTAGCAATGGCTTGAAGCCCCTCAGGGTTGAGACGCTCTACTTTCTTCTTGTAGCCTAAGAGATTCTCATTAGGTACAGTGCCGGTTGGAAATGCACCAGCAGGCAAGGGATTCCAAGCTGCATCAAACGTTTTACTAACGTTCTGGTTTTTGGTTGCGGTTACCAAGCTAGCTGTGATAAATGGCGATACATAGCATTCATAAGCATTGTGATTTTCAGCCGTTACAGCTCCGAAAGTACCAGACGCTAAACAAGGGATTTCACCTTCAGCTGGCATCGGTGGTTTGGGAATACAGGCATCAGGGACGTTAACGCGTATTAAATTACCCTGTGGTGTTACGGTGTTGGCGATATTCTTGAGATATTCAGCAATATCAGCGGGCAGAACGAAATCGGTAGCGAACAGATTTACCGGGGATTCCTCATCAGCAAATCGATCCTCAGCATTCACAGTGCGTACATGGTTAATAAGGTACGCATTCAACGCCGAAACCATTACATGTTGGAACATGCAAAATGGCATCTCCTTTCGCAAGCGTGGGTTCACGGACTCCAGGTTCATATAGACTCTCTCGCAAAGTAAGGGAAACGTGGAGAAATCCAGATTGTGTTGATTGATCTGGCGCTTCGGTTGAGTACCGTTAAATGGTCCGAAGGCCCACATTGGCTCATCCTTCAAGGTTTCCGTTGCAGCCTTTCGAACTACGGGTCGTGCCCTATCTTCAGCCGGATCTTTAAGTGCCGGTGGCTTCGCTGTACGCTTGGCTTTCCAAGCTGCGGCTCGTGCCGTTGGACGGCGCTGGGCTGGGGGGTTTTCCTGTGGTCGCTGTTCCGCCGTAACCATATTTTCCCAATCACCAGTTTCGTCAGCTTTCTTCATGTTGTATACGTGCATGCGGCGCTGACTTCGATTCATCGTTGGTCTTCCAACGGGATTGTCATCTCCATGACCCGTGGCACTCAAACGGTTAAGCCAGGAATTCACTTTGTTGACCGATGCAATTTGCAATCCCCTGGTTGAGGGTAGCCCATGAAACACACAAGTACACTAGGCTCACTCACGAGCTATTGAGATCACATTGTAGATTGCAATTTATCATTATTCCCTAAGGGGAACCTAGTCTAAGTCGTACAATCCAAGACACAATGCCATTGAATTCTGCAGATTCCGCGCTCTGTCTGCAGTGTCCTCTTCGAGTTCTAGAGCTACCTATCCATCTGCAGATCTTCGCACACCAAGAATTGTCCAGCTCTCTAGCAGCTGTGAGTCTAATAATAGCTGGATTTATCTTGTGGAATGTAGGAATAGGATGGGGTAGTACCCCTCTCTCGCTGCGTTAAGGCGGTCATTCAACACCCCTGATGAGAATCCTTTGTCAACCAGCGCAGAGAGGGGATTCGTTACCTGGAAAACCGGAGGAAACCGAAATATGCCTGTAGTCGCCAGGATCAGGTATGACGTCTTTTGGGGGAATGGGCGTCGTTCTTGATCTCAACAGGCGTATTTTCCCACGTATGAGATATATATATACACGATTCTTGCAATAAAGTTCAAAGACTCAGAGCGAAGCTCTCTCACTCTTGTTCTGTCAGGCCGAGGATCGGTGTGCGGGCTTAGGGAAGTTTCCTTAACCTCATTCGCGCTAGTGGGTTTCAAGTTTAGCAGTCGGCTGCTTTTGCTTATCGGTACTAGGTGACGTGGTCCCTCCGCTAATGTGTAACATAGCCCTCGTGCGTTGGCCGTGCGTTCACGCTTAAGTCCAAAAACACCAACTATATTTGCTTGGGCACTTCCCAAAGCGACGGGTGAATTCACCGCGCCCATCACGCTTGATAATCGTGTGGTATTTTGGTTCCCAGATGTTCCGGGAATGGTACTAACTTTTATCCAGCGAAGAGCGGCGGAGTTAGACCCGTGGCCTGGTATTCCAGTCACCATCTTGTACTGATCTTTCATCCTCTGTAGTGTGCCCGATACTCGAGCATTAAATTGTGAGGAAATACGAAGTCGTCCAGCCATGTTGTCCCCTTCTTGAAATTCAGGATTAGCAATGGCTTGAAGCCCCTCAGGGTTGAGACGCTCTACTTTCTTCTTGTAGCCTAAGAGATTCTCATTAGGTACAGTGCCGGTTGGAAATGCACCAGCAGGCAAGGGATTCCAAGCTGCATCAAACGTTTTACTAACGTTCTGGTTTTTGGTTGCGGTTACCAAGCTAGCTGTGATAAATGGCGATACATAGCATTCATAAGCATTGTGATTTTCAGCCGTTACAGCTCCGAAAGTACCAGACGCTAAACAAGGGATTTCACCTTCAGCTGGCATCGGTGGTTTGGGAATACAGGCATCAGGGACGTTAACGCGTATTAAATTACCCTGTGGTGTTACGGTGTTGGCGATATTCTTGAGATATTCAGCAATATCAGCGGGCAGAACGAAATCGGTAGCGAACAGATTTACCGGGGATTCCTCATCAGCAAATCGATCCTCAGCATTCACAGTGCGTACATGGTTAATAAGGTACGCATTCAACGCCGAAACCATTACATGTTGGAACATGCAAAATGGCATCTCCTTTCGCAAGCGTGGGTTCACGGACTCCAGGTTCATATAGACTCTCTCGCAAAGTAAGGGAAACGTGGAGAAATCCAGATTGTGTTGATTGATCTGGCGCTTCGGTTGAGTACCGTTAAATGGTCCGAAGGCCCACATTGGCTCATCCTTCAAGGTTTCCGTTGCAGCCTTTCGAACTACGGGTCGTGCCCTATCTTCAGCCGGATCTTTAAGTGCCGGTGGCTTCGCTGTACGCTTGGCTTTCCAAGCTGCGGCTCGTGCCGTTGGACGGCGCTGGGCTGGGGGGTTTTCCTGTGGTCGCTGTTCCGCCGTAACCATATTTTCCCAATCACCAGTTTCGTCAGCTTTCTTCATGTTGTATACGTGCATGCGGCGCTGACTTCGATTCATCGTTGGTCTTCCAACGGGATTGTCATCTCCTCTCACTACAGTGAGACCACCATACCCACCAAAACTCCACCTTCTCGTTATGCCTGATAAGGTCTTATTGGCAGGCAGTACCAAGAACTAGCACTTCTTGGGTCTTTCATCCAATACGCGTTCTTCGTTTTGTGCTCGACGTGACTTTGTTAAATAGCCAAAATGCGTTTAAGCCACCAATAAGGGCTCGAGTGGACAGAATTTTTAGTTCCTTTTTCTTTATGATGTTTAAGTTAATTAAGTCTGAAGCCGATGACTTGCTCGAGATCCCTCTGCACGATAGGGTTATCGACGTGAATCTGACATCGTCAACGTTGTATCTCTTTTTCACAGCATCATCAAGCTCTTTGTAATATTCGATTTTCCTCGTGTGAGCCTCCCTCAGGTCTACTTGTTCTCCAACAATTTGCGCATCTAGGACGATGGCTTTGTTGCTCCCGATTTTTGCCACTTGGTCTGGTTTCCTGAGTTGGCCTCCTACTTTCAGATGGGGCTCATCGTGGACCTCGTACTCTTTGTTCCTTAGGTTTCTCCCAAGGTACGTGACTACTGAGTCGTGTCGCTTAATTCCTATGTCATGTGTCCTGTGACAGTGTTGCAGTACATGATTCACCGTTTCTTGACCATACATCCGGCTCTGCACCTCCTTTCCGTTAACCATCCACTACCCTTTCTTGCTCTAACAAGTGAGGCGTTAATACGTAATTTAATAAAGTTAACATAGTCCTTTCCAGAGAGGAATCTAGTTCCTTCTCCGACCCACAAATGTTGTTGCGGGACTTTGACCAAGTCTTTCAACGCCTTTTCATCTATCTTATTATGCAGGAGATCACTCCAGCGCTTCGCAGTTTGTTTGCTGTTCTTATAGCTCGAGCCTCTCTCTTCAAGCTTTAGTTGAGTTAGCCTCACTTCTTCATGAAGATAGGAATTGTTTATTTGAGCCAAATTGTGTAGCCTGGATAGCCTCATTGTTAGAATATTGCACCTGAGCGATGGAATTCCGAGGCCTCCCTCCTTTATAGGAGCATGAATATATGCAATAGGTGTATGGTGAGGAAGGTGAACCCATTTTCGGACGTACCTCCTCGTTAACTTATCGTACCCTGTAAGAGCCGATATCCTGACCTCCCCCAGCATTAGTAGATGGTAGGTGCTGGGGAGCAAGTTGTCCGCAATGCAAACAGCCTCTGTTGAGGCTTCAGGGGTGCTTTGGATAGTATATCGAGTTGTTCGATAAGACTGTCTTTTATGTTAACAAGCAGCTTACCTGTAGGAGTAAACTGGACTCCCAAGTAGCGCCATTTATCGGTTTTCTGAAACGCTCTCAAGGTTCCTCCAAGACACTTAAAGTCTTACTATCCACCACAGATCTTTTCTCGTGCGGCACATTCCTTATAGCCAGCGTAAGGAACTTAATGATGTTAATCCTAAGCCCACTTACGCTCATAAATTCACCCGTCAGGCCGATCAACTGCTGCAGACCTTCCTGCGTACTTGCCAAGAATACAATGTCGTCCGCAAATGCCAAGACATTTACATGCGGGCCGCCAGGTATTTGTGTGCCTATTTCCTTTGCTACTCTTTGTATCAGCTGATCGACCAAACAGTTAAATATTATAGGAGACTTTGGATCTCCTTGCTTAACCCCGCACTTAGGGTGGATCCTTCCAGAGGATTTCTTGTTGTAGTAGAGCCTTGTACTATTGTTCTTATACAGGTACTTGATGTATCCTATCATGTCCACTGGTACGCTTGCTGATGCTAAAACAGCGTATATTGCCTCATGCGAGACACTGTCAAAGGCTTTGGCGACATCTAAGGAAGCCATGAAAATGGGTTTACACCGCTTCCGATGGTATCTCAGTGCCATATCCAGTAAAAAGATGTTATCGACACAGCCGTCTACTTTTCTGAAGGCTTTTTACCGATCATCGATCTTAACCCTTTCGGTACGGACGCATTCTGCGTCGCGCCGTCCTCGCTGACCGAGCAGCCGCGGTAAACGTCCGTACTTGCGGAACAACTACAAGAGCCCGTCAGACGCACAATACCACGCTATCTTACGCAGAGCGATCAGAAGAATTTTGATTATCATCACTAAAATGCAACATTTTCAATAAAACTAAATATCTATCTCTACACATAATTTCGCTAAAAATATCAGATTTTAAAAGTTTATCCTTGGACCAATATTCACGAAGCCCTAATTTTTTATTTCGCGACATTAGTAAGGTACAAGCGAGAAAACAGTATAGTTCGTCAACAGTTGTTCCAATTTTGACATCACTCGTCTTATCACTTACTGTACGTGCCCAATACTTATTGGTGTGTAATCGCCGGGGTCCTCGGCACCATTCTTCTTCGGTATGAGGGTAGTTCTCGACCGGAGGAGGTGCTTTGGCAGTTTGCCACATTCCAGGAATGGGTTAAAAATCCTCGCTAGTACGTGCAATGGGACCGCACGCAGTTGCCTAGATGTTAGGCCAT